TTTTTTTTTTTTTTTAAATCTCGTTACGTTTGCATGTAATTTTCTCATGATTAGATGCAATGAAACTGGGTCATAAAAGGGGAGGGCTCTTTTATATAAGGCTAAGAAATATACAAGTGTATATTTGTTGTTCCCTGAACGTTGCTGAAAGGAATCGTTTTTCCTTTCGTTTCTCAACATTTCACGAGTTTTTAAAGTTTTACTCTTTTTTTTTTTTTTACTGTTATACATACACGATGCACGCCCTGGAATCGAGGATTATACTCGTCTTCTGGCTTTTTTTCTACGTTTCTGTTCGCTCGTGGGAAATCCGACCGTATCCGAGCTCCGAAGAACGTTCCGAGAATGAATTAGAATTGGACGATCCAACGGAAAGGATAGATATTATATTTCCAGGTAAGAGAGGACGACGTAGTGGAAGCTATCGCGCAGAAATAAATACGAAGCTGTAAAAGACCTGTAAAAAATTTTATTGCGAAAAACATTGTGCAAAACTGAATCAGTGAATGTGTACTTTTGTACAAAAAAAAAAAAAGAGAAAGAAAATGAGATCGGATGTTAACGTTCTTAAATAAGAATCTGGATTAGGTACTTTTGTATGTTGCTATATTTTTCTTCGTATGTATTTTGTTTAACTTCGACTAATAAAAATTTATACAAAAATGCTGACTGTAATTTTCAAAAGGAAAATTCCTTTATAAAAGAAAATCAGCATTTCTAGCTTCGAGTTTCGAGAATTCGAAAATTAATTTCGAATCCAACCTTAGAAAATACTGAAGTAACATGTTTGTAACAATCGTTCCGAGATTCTCCATTGGTGTCGATGACTATAATTCACGAATAATTTTTCTTTTACAAGTAAACGGAATTCTGGTCAATGAGAATTCATTATTTAGTATGTTTCTATTAAGTATTTTTTTCATGTACTTTAATAGTGACGACGGTAGAAAAAGATTTGTAGAAAACCTGTTAGTAGTTTAGTTATGCTCCTCAGTGTAATTATTGTTTCCCAGGAACAAAGTGGTGCGGAAGTGGTAACATAGCTAGTGATCCGAATGATCTAGGGAAATATTTCGAAACCGACGCGTGCTGCCGAAATCACGATATGTGCCCTGACGTAATCGAGGCTCATGGAACGAAACACGGTTTGACTAATCCTTCGTTTTACACCAGGTTTCTCTTCAACTTTGTTTCCTATTCACTTTTTCTAGAATTTCATTACTAGACCGTAGGATTTTTATGCATTTACGGGAAATTTTAAAGTAATTACTAACTTTATAACTAACTTTAAAGTAAAAGTAACTTAGTAACTTAGTAACTTAGTAATTAGTAACTTAGTAACTTAGTAACTAGTAACTTAGTAACTAGTAACTTAGCAACTTAGTAACTTAGTAACTTAGTAACTTAGTAACTAGTAACTAGTAACTAGTAACTTAGTAACTAGTAACTTAGTAACTCAATAACTTAGTAGCTTAGTAACTAGTAATTAGTAACTAGTAACTAGTAACTTAGTAA